ATCTTGCTTGCATGTGAAATCAGTGAGATTGTTCTGTAGTTTCCACATTCTGTTGGGTCACCTTTCTTTGGGATAGGAACAAATATCGATCTCTAGTGAATAAAAATCATGACTTATCTCCAAGCAGGAATAAAAGATACTTTTTTTTCCCTTCAACTTTTTTTTTTTTAAAAAAAAAACACAACTATTGCAAGGCACATTTAATATCATGAATGCAATGCAAAAGGCCCAAATATAATGAAGGAACACATCCCCCATTAACACAATGATTTTTCAGCATGTGCCTGTTAAATGGAATGGGGATTCGATCCATTTCACTACTGGGGGAGAAATAAACGCAGGGGTCTCAGCACAGCCATTACCCTTATACAATCTAGTTGTGAAATGAATGTTTATCATGCTTTGAACAGTTCAGACCTGATTTTGACAACCACACCTCTATGTTTGTATAGTCTACAGCATTAGCAACCATTCAAAGAACACACCATTGATTAAATCCATTGATTAAAGGCTCAATCAAGTAACATAGCCCCAAGCAAAATGGTTAGTTATGTGTATGAACTACTTGTACTGACATCTATTAGTCAATTCTCATGACTATTCAAAGTTGGTTCTCAGCAAATAAACTCTTTAAAGGCAGTATTATTACCTCATTCAAGTTTTGACCCAGAAGTTCAACAATAATCATCAAGTCCACAGTCTTATTGGCAAAGCTAATATACAATGTCTCTAAGTCACTATGCTCAACGCTAAAGAGCGATGCATATTCAATTTTAGCTTTTATTGGAATTTTACATGCTTAAATTCAGGTTTAAAATGTCTAGGTTTTCATTCCTCCACACTGTCTGATGACACAATGTGCTTCACTGTGTCTTAAGAAGACTTAAGACTTCTGTTTCTCCCTCTATTTTCTTCACACAGAAACTTTTCTCAAGTGTCTAAGATTCCTAGAAGGGGAATGTCTCGGAGGTAGCCACTTCTTCGGAATAGTCCGGTGCCATCAGGCCTCTGAAGCAAGGGGGAGGGGAAGAGAAAAAAGCTGAAACACAAGGTTCATTTGGTAAGTTTTACATTAACCAATACAAGCTGGACAGTTAAGAATGTGGCTTTTTTGGCTCACAAAGTCTGAGTCTTGGTACGGAAACGAGTACCGGCTGCCCCACCACAGCTTTCTCGCAGTGGGACTGTCAGGGAAGTCTTGACTGGGGAGTATGATTTGTTTACCTATCAGGCGTAAACTTCCAGGCACCCAGTTCATTTTGGGCTTGTTCCAGTTTGTCTTTAGTCTGTTCCGGTTCCCCTTTCATTTTTAGGAAAAACAAGTTGATTGCTGGGTCTACCATTGTTGATCTCAGTTGGGCAACTCTCGACTGCTGGACTTGCTTGAGGTACTGGACCTGAGTAGTACACTCTTGCATCTCTTGTTCCTTGGTTGCTAGTCTCATTACAAGGATGTTTTCTCTGCGTGCAGACTCTTGCTGTTGCTGCTTCAGTTTTTCTTCAGATTCCCTTAAGCCAGTTACATCATTAGAATTAAGATCTGTGTACTTGCCCTCCAAAGCTTGCACATATGCTTCATACTGCTTCCATCTTAGAATTAACTCATCTCGAGCCATAACTTTGAAGTCTGTTTCACTCAAGCGAACCTTTTTGGGAAGAGGTTCTTCGATGGTCATCTTGAACCTCCGCACAGGCCGAGGCCACGCTCGCACCGCGGCGGCCGGGCCCCGTCGCTCCTCCGCCACCGCAGCCCGCGCGCCCCTTTATTTGTGGGTCTCGCTGCCACCAATAAAAGATACTTTTTTCCAATCCTGGGAAACTGTTGAGTTAAATATGACTCATGGTGCCCCTGTGAGCAACAGATCGGAACCGTGTCCTTTCCTGTGCCATCCTCATAACCTCTGACATACTCGAGCTCACTGCTATAGTCACTGTGTCAGTCCAGCTGGGTGAAGGTCATCCTTTCCTCTGCTAACACTCCACCTTTTCTGCTATGATGCCCCTCTCTTAGAAATAACCTCTTGTAGCAACATGCCCACATTATGGAAAAGAACAAAAGAGGAGTATGGATATTGGCAATTTTATAGCTGGAAAAGAATATTGTTTTCTTTCTAAATAGCCTTGGTTAAAAATACAGAGAGTTCATTTGATACAACTGGGAGATATATGTAGATCTGAGGATTTTCTGAAAAATACAAAAGTTTGAAAGAGAGAATAGAATATATATTAGCACAGAAAAGCTTTCAAGTTCCGGTAGGATCCATGACTTCTGGTATCATTCCTGCTGTTAGATATTGTTCTACAACAGAATTTAATATCCAGGATGTAGTCATCTGTGGGTATGGAATTTACAGGCTGACACGACTTGTGGAAAATAGTGTAAACAAGAAGAGTGTAAAGGAGCCTATAGAAAGCTTGTGTGGAAATTTGGAAAGGAGTGAAGTCATATGAAATTGATAAATTTGTATTAAGTGATAAAGTTTAGATACTGCAAGTTCAGATACAGTTTAAATACATACACTTTATATCCTTCAGATACTGTGTGGCAATAAGAAGGGTCAGCTATGAGTTCTGACCTGAAGACATTTAACAAAACATAATACAAACTTCAAAGCCACCCAGGATCTTGTGAGACAATTGGTGGGTTAACTCCAGACCATGAGCACACCAAAGAGGACAACAGTGATTCAGCCAGACAGTAACCTCAAAGAGGATTTAGTAATGACAATAGTGAGCAGTATCTTAGAGGCTGATTAGATCTTATAATTAAGTAATTACAGTAATCAATTGTAATTAATGTTATCAAACAAACTTCACATGAATGATTAAAATAAAAATCAATATGATTTGTAAACTTTAACTTCTATAAGACTGAAAAACAACAAAAGAAGAAAACTCAGTTTAGCCTTAGTTGGCCCTGGCGTTTGTGTGGCTTGGATTCAGATGATAGGAAAGATATGATCAAACCTGATTTAGGAATTCTTTCTACCACCAAGATTGTTTGGAGGATCAGTGTTTGAGAAAATCTTCTACTAACAGTGGATTACTTCCCTTACATAAGTTAATAAAATACAAAGAGGAAGAATTTGAGGGAACAAGGTAAAAAAAAAGACTTGTATGAGATCAAGGACCATAAATAGAATCTGAGAAAAGCACTGGCAAGAGAAATGATGTCTTTTGTTTCCCTCTGGGACTAGAGGGCAATTTGAGAATGTAAGAGTAGAAATAGAGACACTGCTACTTCATCCATCTGAGAACTCCTGAAATTGGGCAGATGTGTCACCGTGATTGTATACGAAACTGTTAATCCAGAACATAGCTTTTTATTTTAAAGCCACTTCACTTTGAATGAGTTTACTTTTAATAGAGTATTAAAACTTCTTTTCCATGTAATGGTCCATATGTTTAGAAAACTAATATTTAAAAACGTTTTCTGGTTTCACATTTTCATTGAAGTCATGCATGAGTTTGGCAACCACTGCCAGTGAATTCACCAACAGGGCTGCAAAAAGTAAAATAAAATCCTATGTGACTGGTTGAGTCTGAGAAGCAGGGGAAGGTGGTTTCTTTCCAGAATTAGTCTTAGATCATTACATATCTCTCCTTATTTCCAATTGTGGGGAAACAGATTAAGAGAGTTCAGCTTTGTGAAGAACAATAAATGGTTCAGAATTACAAATGTCTCTCCACTTACTGGTATTTGGAATGAAGGCAGAATATTTTTTTAAATATTCTGAAATGATATTGATAACAAAGTATTGTATATTTTATGAATCATTACTGTAATTTAAAAATATCTGTTATGAAATTGGACAGGCACATTTCCTTCAGTGTCTCCCTTCCAAAGGTGAATTTTTTTTTTTTTAAATTTAGATTGTTTATTTTTCATTTCAATGAATATCTACAGAGATTTTGGGATTCCATTCATTCATTGTTGCACACTTTTCCCCGCACAAACCCCTCCCCCCTCCCCCCATTTGCTCCTCTCCTTGAAAAGCAAAAGAAAAACTCCCTCATTGGTACACAATCCCCCCCTGCACCTCCCAAAACCCCACCCCCTACCCCCAAATATAATCCACTCTGCAACCCTCATTGCATACTCCTACGATAAAAATGCCCTAAAATATAATACTTTTAGACTATTCTCTCCCCCATAGACTTCAATGCCGTAAACATATTTCATCCAGTTTTTCTCAGTCTTACCCCCACCCCAATGCCAGCCTCATTCTACAACACGTGAATTTTGAATGAAGTCTTGCTCCATTTCTGCAGCAGGTTAAGGAGGTGGGGCACTAAGATAAATGCATCTTACTGTATAAGGTCCATTTGTCACGTGGTAGGTGTTGTGCCTTGATACAGAGAAGTGTGTGTCAAGTAGAATTTCAGTTCTGAGAACTCACATGTAAACCATCAGTGGTCAGTACCGTTTGTGACACTTGAAGGTATGACCAGGGGGTGCCATTCACAACAGCTCCTTTGGGTGCGGCTCTAATTCCTAAATGTGCATTTTGACAACCTGAAGCAAGTTACTTAATCTCTTTATGCTAGAGTCCTCATCTATAAAACAAAGCACTATAGGTGAGCTCTGATGGCCTAGTGGCAAGAAGCTGCACTGCAATCCCAGAGGTGTGTGGTTCAAATCCACCAGATGTTCTGCTGGAGAAGGAGGGACAATCTCCTTCTGTACCAGTCAGATCTGGTTTAATGGTACACACACACACACACACACACACACACACATAAAGTAAAATTTTTAAAAAATCCACTACAAAATTTATAATGCTGTGATATGGATGAACTGAATTAAGAAATAAAACACATCACCAACGACAGTATTCAGAGCAAATAGAAGTTCAGTCAATCTTCTTCCTATTCATTTTTATACTCAACAAGTTGTAATGTATGAAGAGATGCATTCAGAACTATTTACATTTTATCTAATGTTCAGTTTTATATTTTTATATATCTTTTAAACAACATTTTCTGAATGCTTCAACAATGAGATCTAATGTTCTTATTGTGGTGGTGTGTTGTTTCTTTGGAACCGACCTCTAGCTGACCTTCTGCAGGTTTTCAAAGCAGTTAATTGCATGGTAGGAGATTGACCATCCTCTCTCGAGGAATAGCTGGTAGATTGCAACTGCATGCCTTTGGTAATTGCAGCAGAGCTTCTTACCACTAGGCCTTCAGAGCTCCCTTAAAACTAATAGAACGTGTTTTTTAGATATTATTGTTAGGACAGGAGTCCAGAATGAAGGCTACATAGTGGAGTGGACTTGGGGGAAGGGATTGTATAACAATGAAAGAATTTTTCTTTTACTTTTCTAAGAGAATAAACTGGAGTTGGGGGGAGGAGGTTTAGCAGGGAGAAAAGTGAAACAATGGATGAATGTAAATCTAAAGTCTCTGTAAACTTTCATTAAAATAAAATTTTAAACAAATTTCCCTTTCAAATACCAGTTATACTTAGTAATTAAATTTCCCAATCATATATGATTAAGACCATTAAGTGTGATATAGCAGACATAAATGCTTTGTTTGTTTAAAAAAGTGAATAAAACTCAACTGAAATTTTCTGAACATTTAAAACTCTATTATCAATACACTTGGCACCAGCAGCCAGGAAATCAAAACATGAACTTCCTTAGGAAAAATCTGCTGTCAGGGATTTAGTACTCCAGAGTACTAAAAAGCAACAATGTCCATTTAGAGACTAAGGTGCACCTGCTTCAGGCCATAGTCTTCACAAATACTTGCTATGCATCAGAGAGTTGAACAGTGAATAAGAATGACAGAAGAAGAATTGATACCTTTGAATTGTGGTGCTGGAGAAGAGTATAGAGCATACCTCTGACTGACAAGAGAACAAGCAGGTTTCTCCTAAAAAGGATAAAACCAAGTTGCTCCTTGAAGGCAAGGCTGGTTTTTTTGTGGGTTTATTTTTGTTTTTTGTTTGTTTGCTTGTTTTTTCTGGTTTCCAAAGTTTATTAAAAATAAAAAATAGAAAATGTTTACATAAAATTATGTCCATTTTTGCTTCCATGATGTTGCCCACATACACAAAAATTGAACCATGATTATTTTTCACTATGCCTGAAGTGGTAGTTCTGCCAATTCATCAGACTCCCCAGCCAGACAGAGCTTGGCCCTATCCTGGGAACCAGGCCCGGATGCACAGCGGCCTCCTCAGTGTGAGCTCATCTATATTCCTTATGTGTAGATTACTATCGGCCTACAAGTCAATGTTTATAAATATTTCTCTATCAAGAGATTAATTATTTAAACACTTGACTACATCAGAGAACCCTTGGTGGCCAGGAACTGTGTGTGAAGCTTCCGGTAGGGCCTGCAGGTCAGACAGATGTGTGAATGGAGGCTCTGTGTGCTCCCCCCGCCCATCCACAAGGTGGCTAGCTTTCCCATCCAGCCTTCAAGCCTCAATCTACCTGTGGTGTCAGAGGGAGCAGGCTCTTGCCTGAGGCCATCACATTAGGAAATCTTGAAGAAACATGGGCTTGTAAGCACTCCTGTAGCCACTTAAGCTGTAATGACAGGTCTGGTGAAGGCCAATAGGAAAATGGTGCCAGTTTTAGGAATGTGGAGAAAGGAATTATGTTGATTCTGTAGAGGAATCTATGTAGTAGTGTGCATTTGTTCTGTTAGGAGGCAAACTCTT